ACTCTGTCTTGACTCGGACTCGACTGTATTTGAAAACCAACGGACTCAGTCTCGACTCGGACTCGACCCTTCAAAGACTCGGTCTCAACTCGGACTCGACTGTATTTGAAAACCAGCGGACTTGGTCTCGACTCGGACTCGACCCTTCAAAGACTCTGTCTTGACTCGGACTCGACTGTATTTGAAAACCAACGGACTCAGTCTCGACTCGGACTCGACCCTTCAAAGACTCGGTCTTGACTCAGACTCGACCCTTCAAAGACTCGGTCTTGACTCAGACTCGACCCTTCAAAGACTCGGTCTTGACTTGGACTCGACTGTATTTGAAAACCAACGGACTCGGTCTCGACTCGGACTCGACCCTTCAAAGACTCGGTCTTTTGGGCCTTGGGAAGAGTTACTGGTGCCATGTGTGTTGATTTTGGAAGTATGTTTTTGTGGACTTGTGAAATGTGTTTGTGTAAATCTTGATGAAAGTGTGTTGACTAGCGAGGCAACAAACCACCTTGACCTCCTCAACCTCCAATAGTAGATTAATCAGATGCAGACCCGGATAAAATCTAGGCTTGAAGGAGGAGAAAAACAGTGTAAGAAAATAACAACATACACATGCGATGTAACAGGTTACAGATGGAAGAGTAGGAAAGGAGAAAAATAAGCCCCAGGAGACAGTAATTAAGACAAAGGATGTGCAATGGACTGCCTAGATCAGGGTTAAACAGTGGCCATCATGAAGGCCATGGAAGGAGGAGGAGTGAGAGAAAGTAGAAAGAAAGAGAAATCAGCGCGGCATCAGCACAGCCCCATAGTGATGGATGAAGCCTGGAGCCAGCTATATTAAACCCATTAGAGGGACATTTCTTCACCTTTCCATATAAATCTCCAGATAAATTATTTACCTCTTGCAGCTCCATGCAACATGATATATGTGCGCAGGCTTTTGTATGCCTCTTAAGACCAGCTTTTGACAAACCTCACTGTACAGACCCTCAATACGCTCCTATTTGTGACTAGTGACCCTTGCAAATAACCCCTTTATATCATCGTATTGCTGGTTTTAGAGGTGCTCCAACAGACATACTTGTTTCTGCAAAAAATACAGTTACTGTTTCTACTGTAAAACGATGATAAGTTATTTTTTTCGAACCGTTCATGAAAGATTATGTTTTATTTATGTTGTTGCTAGGGTGTTGCTAAGTCAGAACAAGATGTTATCGTTCTACAAGCAATTTAGTGTGAATGATTACGTTTGCCACAAACAACTCATCAATATACTGTAAAATAATGTTAGTGGTAATAGGTGACTATTTTTATTTATTTATTTAGATAATTACTAAATATAAAACCACCAGATATATGTGTGTGCATACATAAAAAAAAATGCACTTTGCGATTCAGTTGGATTACTAATGCATTAAGCACATAATGCACATAATTGATCCGTTATGTTCATTTGTACATATTGTAATATATATATATATATTTTTAAATTTCAATTTAATTATGTGTATATCATTTATATAATATCTAATATAATTTGTACTTCATCAATCAATGTAGTTTATCATCAACTAACAAACGACAATACTTTTACAGAATTTATTGTTAACGTATTACATTTTTATATTATATGTAGCCTATATAATTATATCTAATCATACATATAAAATATAAATATATATAATGTCAATTTATGAATATACAAATAAAATAAATTCTGTAAAATTTCTTATTTAATTCATAATGCCTAATGTTAATGAAATTACCTTATTATACCAGAAAAGTGTAGATGTATAGTTAGCTCAAGGTAAAGTCATTGTGGTTGTTGTGACAGACAAACTGCAGACCTGTTCCTCTTTACCTTCTGACACACTGCGCAAACGAGCAAGATGGATCAGAAAAGAAACAGCAGCTCTGACACCAGCTTGCTAAACGCATCCTAGGAACAACCTAAAATATGGTCCAGTTGATCTACAGTATCAGACAGATGCGATCTCATTACCAGTCTGAAGCAGTCTGTGATAACCGGCATTGAGATGGGGAAAAGATGTGCTGCTTATTTTTCCTTCCCTTTTCACCTGGATGGAGAGATTGGGTTTGCTAAGGAGATGGTAGTACATGACTGGAAAACAGCACACACTTGTTGTGTGTGTGTGTCATGTCAGGCTGTAAGGGAGTGTGCTGGTGAAATTGAAAGTAGATTACATAGCTGATGAAATACGTGTATGTGTGTGTGTGTGTGGTGATTATGTTTAAGGGGGGCGCCATAAGATAAGAAGCTCTCTCTGCTCTCCTCTTCACTCTATTAATATGAAACAGAATGATTTCCATTGCAGCTGGATGCATATACGCAGACACAAAATCATTTGGCGAAGCAGAATTAACAAATAAACAAGCTAAATATTTGTGAGAATTATTTAACAGGCATTGTGCCTAGGGAACCAGGCTCAGTTTGTGCTTGTTTGACATCGGTTGACGCTTTTGTTCATAATTTGCATGAAATATTCTCATTCCAATCTGCTAATTATAATTTGTAGGAGGAGGAAATTAATTTTCGATTGCTCACCATAGTCATGTCGTTTCAGGAAAATAAATAAATAACTGCTGTACTGTACATATATTAAAATGTATGGCATTTTCAATCTTGTTTTTATTTATTCAATAGTTACAAATAGTTAGCGCTTGATATTTCAATCAAAACTAAATAACTTTACAGAGAGCAGTCTGCTACTTTCTTGGTTTATTTCCACCAATGAACATTCAGCGTTCACAGTTATTAAATCAACTCGGGAAGCTGTGTTACCTGGCAACACACCGGCCAGTGTCATCTTTATGACAAAGATCAAGGTGTTATTTATCAAATGCACATCAATATAGCATGAAGCAGTAAGCATGAGAAGTTGCTCTTCATCGGCAGCATGCACACAAATGCCTTCATTTTGGCAACGCATTTAATTTCTTGACTTCATTTGACCAAATTCATTTCTTCCCTAGCAGAATTGGACCCCTGTCAGTCTTGTAAAATAGAAGAATATGATTCATTTGACTTTCCTCTAAAGGCCATGCAGTCTGACTGCTAACCTTTCACAGCAAAGACTGGGATATTGTGACAGAATAGAGTTTAACACTTTACTACAAGTTGTTAATTACATTAGTTAATATGTAATAACAATGTAATAACATATGGAATAACAATGACAAATACCTGTAAAGCATGTAACCTTAATTTCAATATTTAATACATTATGCTTCTAATGAACCTATAAATAAATCTTAAATATCAATAAATACTGTAACAAATGTTTTGCTTATTGTTAATTAATTTATTGTAGAAAGTTACCAGTTTAAAAGTAATCAATTTAAAAAAAAACTCAATTACAAATTAAATTAGCTGTGCAATTTAATTAATTAAATTAATTTTTTTAGTCATATATTTTGTATTTTTGTTGTGAGACTTTAAATTGAGTCACTATTTCATGATAAAATTCATTAGTTTCAGTCATTTTAAAATGGCATATTATTTTAGTTGGCAAATTAAGGTTTTAGTTGCAAAATCAAACGCAATATATATTTTTTTATACACACATTCAAAAGTTTGGGGTTAGAAAAAATAAATGATTGATTCAGCTATGATGCATTAAATTGCTCAAAAGTGACAGTAAAATAAAACTAAGCAGCACAACTGTTTTCAATGTTGATAATAATAAGAAATGACTAAGAATAATTATTTCTGAAAGATCATGTGACACTGAAGACTGGAGTGATGATGCTTTGCATCAAAGGAATAAATTGCATTCACAAAGAAAAATTGTATTAATTTCACTGTTAAGGGATTATCTGGGTTATGTGTCTGTTTTGCACATGTCGAGTTTAGTTTCCTGTGTTTTTAGTTTCCATATATTAACACACTCTAATTTAAATGTAGTTTTGACTAATTAAACTTTGCAGTGTGCATGAAATACAAACCCACAGGGCAGCTTGAAAGCATTAAGGAAGCTTTCCTGTGAATACAGGATCATTCATTAATACATCTCTTTGACCCCGACAGCCACGTTATAGTTCATTTTAATGCATGTGCATGATGGATATCAGAATCTAACTGTAATTTACAGTAACCATAGCATTTGGTGTAGCAGCTTTGAACTCGGTTTATTGAAGAGCAGAGCGACTCCTGGACAACAGGGTGATTTATACAGAGCTTCCTCTACAGAAGCGGTTCATTACAAACCCACCCCCTTCGCTCGCCATAAATACGGCCCTAATTGTTTCTGTGACAGGGGAAACATGGCCATTTTGTAACTGCCCACACAGGAACATTAGCACCCAGACAGTAGCGCTCCGAAGGCACCTCCCAAAACATCTCCCATGGAGCCTCAGTCTCAGAGAAAAGCCATAAAACAACCACAAATGCAGGGAATGCTAAGCCCAGGAACATTTAAAACCACCGGCACCCTGGAAAAGCAGCCCGAGGGCCCTCGAAGTATCCAGTGAAGTCATCAGAAGAACAAGATAATGGGCTGATTAGGCCCAAGGTGCTGATGCTCAGGGAATTTAGTGGTAAAAAGACATTAGCCGAGCAGGATAACTCAGCCCGGGTAGGAATTAATAGCAAAGGATGCGGCATAATTCCATTAAAAATGTGTTACTGATGGGTCAGCAGATAAAATACTGTTTGGCTCCTAAGGTTACCCATCCCATTGCATTTTGGAGAAATCTATAGTGCAGGGAGGCAATTGTGGCGAGTCTTTAACACACACCTAATAGATAATTGATGTGTTCTTTCTTTGTGCAGACTGTCTCTGTCTTTGGGTGTTTCAATGGTTTTATTTATTCTGCTTCCATTATTGGGATCTTAAAGCCCAACTTTAGATTTCTAAAATGGAAAACTAATGCACAGCCTTTGGCTGTTAGGGATTAGTTTGTTGTCAACACTGTTGTTGTTATTATTATATTTGTCTTGAGTCTGTCGCATGTTTGTTGTTTTATTCCATTTCTTTTAGTGGTACCGGACAAACTGTTGGGCGTATGCTGTGGGCAATGAAGGATTGAATCACCCCGGGGAGGATGTCTAATATACCTGGAGACTGGAGCTGTCCATTAGCATTCCCATTTACCTCCACTGGCACATTAGCCCTGGAGGTACACGACCAAGTTCATGCCATCTTTGCTTCATACAGGCACTGTTTTCATTTCCATCAACCACTCTGGATTCTACATATAGCCCTTAAACTAATGAAAATTAAGCAAAAATTTTCAGATAAATTTGGTTATTTTCAACACAGCTCGTCTGTTTTCAACATTGATAATATTAAGATATGGATAATGTGAAAGAAGACTAGTGATGGCTGCTGGAAATGTAGCTATAAATTATGTATTGTAAAATATACAGTAATAATGTCACAATATTATTAGTAGTATTATTAGAATTGGTGGGCATAAGAGATTTCTGTCAAAAACATTACAAAAATCGACTTTTGAATGTCAGTGTGTAATATACAGTATGTAACGCAGGCCAGTAAGAGCTGCAAACTCCCCTGGCCACTTTTGCCACTTTTGAAGGAACTAGTCACTATCCTGGTTAAACCTTCCCCAGTAAACCAATGTAATCTCGTCTTTGTAATGGTTACTATCAATGACTGACAGCTGAATTGGTCTGGAGATTATACCTCATGAAGGTTGGTGAATTTAGTAGCTGGCATTTAAATAATCCTGTATTTCCTTTATCCCTCCAAAATATTATATATTGTCCTTTCCAACGGCTCCTTTCCACACTTTCTGGGTGTTGCTGTACTGTTTGGGCCTTAAGACCTCTTCCCCATGGCTGTAAGTGTAAACAATCCCACAGCTCAAACAGTACAGCATAATGCTACTGCGGAAATGCCAAGCCCATGGGTTCGATCCCCAGAGAATGCATGAACTGATCAAATGTGTTCTTTGTATGTAATTTAAAAGGTACTGTGTGACCCTGCATTTTGCAGATGAACATTGTTTTGGTTGTGCTTTGGATCTGCATGACTGTGTGGATAAATGAATTTCTGCAACTGTGTTTAGATGGAAAGGATCTCAAGCTGACTAGCTGAAGACTTCACTGTGGCTTTTCGCATTAATAGACAGTACTTCCTTTATAACTCCCATACATTTCAGCATGGTGCTACAACAACCATAATGAAATAACCCTTCACAATAGATAATGTTTTACAATGTACTATGTTAGAGAGCTATATATAGCACTTTATCTGTTCAATAACATACTTTACTCATCTGTTGAGTATAAAAATACCATCGCCGTGTCACTTTTACATTTACATTTACATAAATCCCTTAATTTCACCATCTCCAAAAAAGCCAATGTTGATTCTTGTTTTATTATAAGATGTGATGCGATCTGGGAAAACCCACGTGGTGAAATGAGGCCATATTAAAGCTGGGTTCAAGCCCTTTCCAAATCTGTTTTTATTTCTTTTATCGTTTGTCTGTAACAAAAGTTATGGTTACCTGAAGTCGGCTGATCGCTATGATTTTCAGAAATTGAATTTTGAGAAAAACAGGTTTAATTAACGGTCCCGTCCTGCTAGCGAGACGACTGGCGCTCCCTATTTATTGCCATTTTTTCATATCACATATTTTAGTAATCATCATAGATTAGGTATCATTCGAAAGCTTACAAACTCAAAATTCATCCTGTGAAAACCCTTTTGAAATTGGACGATTGAGATACTCCACTTTTTTTTGGAAATAGGCTCATTTTGCCACTCCCCCAGAGTTAAACATTTGGGTTTTATCGTTTTCGACTGTATTCAGCCGATTTTCTGATATTTAGAAGAATATCCGTAACCAGACAGTTTCTGGTCTCATTGACTTCCATAGTATATATTTTTTTCCTACTATGGAAGTCAATGAGACCAGAAACTGTCTGGTTTCTTCTAAATATTCTTCTAAATATCAGAAAATCGGCTGAATGGATTCGAAAACAGTAAAACTCAACTGTTTAACTCTGAGGGAGTGGTAAAATAAGCCTATTTCCTAAAAAAGTGGAGTATCCCTTTAATGAAAACCAAATTTTTACAAAAAACTGACATTCAATCTATATTTAGATAACACAGTCTCCTCCCAAGTCTTCATAAAAACTGACGTCACCATACAAATATGGAGTTTTGGTTCCTTGCCACTGTCGCCTTGCTTTTGGCTTGCTTTGGGCTTGCTCAGTTGGGATTATTTAGTGTTTAGCAATGTTGTTGATCCTGTGTTGTGCTACTTTCATGTTATCAGTGTGAAGCTGCTTTGATACAATCTGTATTGTGAAAAGCGCTATATAAATAAATGTGACTTGACTTGACTTGACGTCTTGGGACGTCTTTTGACCATACGTCAACATCAGCCTTTTTAGGGTACCCTTAAACGTCGGTTAGTTGACGATTCCAGGCCGTCATATAACTGACGCTTTACCTTTAACGTCGGTTAGGTGACGGGGTAGGTTTAGGTCTGGGGTAGGGTTAGGATCCGATAACGTCATCTAACCGACGTTTAAGGGTACCCTAAAAAGGTGGATGCTGACGTATGGTTATATGACGTCAATTATATGACGTCTTGGGATGAGACTGCGCTGATTTAGACCTTACTGAAAACGTACCAGCACGACATCCGACGGGTTTTCCCAGATTGCATATCATATCTTTAAAAAAAAACTAAAAAAAAACTAGTGATTCCCTGGAGGTTCGAGATGTAGCGTGATCCATGTCAACCGTTCTCACTCGTTGTAACAACTAACCTATTGCACACCATACAAATATCAAGTCTTCACTATTTACAGATATGACGAGACAAGCGCACACGGGCGAGTGACATATGCATGCAATTTCCTGCAAAAACCATCCCTTCAGGTCTAAAATATAAACACTTATAACAGGCTTACTATAGTGAATCAGGGTAAGACAAAAATGGGTTTTGGAAGAAGATTTGATGATGCATTGACTTCTGCATTGAAATTTGAATAATTATGAACAAAATGTGTACCTTTAAGCCACTTTGGATAAAAGTAACTACGGCGACAAGAAAACAGAGAGTAAAGAACAGTCAGGGTAAAAAAAGAAACTGCTGGCATTTCAGTGAATATCCTGGTGAATGCTACCTAGAGCCTTACAGAGATCCCCTTATGCAGTGATAAGGAAAAAGAGAGAGCCTCAACGGAAAAAAGACTGCGGGATAGAGGGAATTTGTTAGTAAAGATTGAAACAACAACAGCATTTTCCCACTGGGTACCACCTACCAGGAGCAGTGGGTGATCGTCTCTAGCACTTGGCCTGTAAGAAAGTGATTGTGATGTGTCTGAATGGTAAGTCAGCAGGCTTTGCTGCCCATGAGGTCGACCCATGCAGTGCTTCAGGCAACCTGCTGACCAGTAAGAAGACCCCTATATCACTGTGTAAAGTGACCGTGGTCTCCACTGAATACTTCATTTAAAAGATCCATCCATTGTATATAATTTGCTTTTATAGTAAAAAATTAATGTTCTACTTCCTCACATTCAAATATAAAGACAAATTCTGTATTGTATTCACTACTTCAATTAAAATCGAATCCAAATTTAGGAGCTGAATTTAAATGTGGAAATTGGCGTACAGCTCTGATCGGAAAAGCACATCCTTTCACAAAACCTGCTAAAGCCAGATTTAATTTCCATTCTTAAGCTGGACTTTTCAGAAGAGTATAGGATTATTTTCCTTGTAAAGTGAAACGTGTATGTATAATTGTCTAAAATACTTGACAACCAGTACCTGGGGATGCTGGAAAAGTATTCCCCATTTTTTTAGGAGTCATGCAGTGCTGTCACTCAACGGGGAGGTAAAGATGATAGAAAGAGCTCAGTGCCCTGAGCCATCAAGTCAACAGTTAAAGCAAATAGAGCAGCAGTTGGAGTGTTAAATACCTGTTTTTAGTGCAGAAAAAGGCCCAACTGCTGCTCGCCTCGTACACCATTGGTTTAAATGGAGGCCAAGACAAGTGGTTGGGAAAAAGAGTGAATTTTTACCTCAGTTTTACACTTTTAGTGGTTTTAGAACTAACCACATTTGGTAGGTCAAGAAATAAAATACAAAAAATTTAATGAAAATTGTCTTTTATATTTACATATTACATATAAATGTATATACAATATAGTATATCTTTCTCTTAGGTCTTCCTGATATAGCCTTTTTCAGAAAAAAAACTGTACTTTGTAAGCCCTTTAGACATGTACTGTAGCTGAGTCTCCTCCTTGTAACCCTTGTAGTTTTAACATTAAACAACCCGAGGGACTAGTTCCGGCACAATTTATCGAGCGAACACCACCGGGTAACACACTCCTAAATGGAAGGTACTTTTTGTTTAGTGACCTATCTGAGGGGCCAGAGGAAACTCATAATGCCCATTACAGGGGTACTTAATGGCTCTCAGCAAGTCCTATTAATTAAACACACAGACAGCAGCCCGTTGATGTGATAGGTACATTCTTTTCTCTTTTTTTGCTGTGTGCATTATTAATGAGCAATGAACAGAGGAGCCCCTCTGCATTGTGGGATCTAATTGACTCTAATAGGTGGGACAAGGGAGACGGCGTTATGGGCCGCAGGATTATTAACGATAAGCTCGTGCATTTACGTGCCGTTGTTTTAATGCGATGATGTGTAATGCCGGTTTGGCTCAGTTCTATGTGAATGCTGTTATTACTGCATTCAAAGTCAAGACGTTGGGGATGGTAAGAGTGTGAATGCTAATGTTTAATTTCAGTGGTTAATGTCATGTGTTGACTACATAATTGCGTGCGTAAATGAGAACTTCTAACTTTTGATTTTCATGAGAATTTAGTTTGGATTAGTGATTAGTTAATTAGTGGAGATTGGGTTAATCATTTAAAAATGTGCTTCCTAGAGTTCTCCTTTGCATAATAACATTCAAGTTGGGATTGAAAAAGTTTAGCAACATTTCCCTATGATTTTAGGGGTAAAGTCAACATTAAATAAAAATTAACCCAATTTACTTTGTCTTATTGTACATTGTTTTCGTTTTCTTAAAAGTCCCCCTATAATCAATAATTGTATCGCTTTAAACTCATCTTTGATCACCAAAGTAACATATTTAAATGTTTTTTTCCTTGAAAAAAATTTCTTCATGCCTTAAAATATCTTGAATGTAACTCTAGACCCTTGCCTCATACTTCCTACAACTTCCTACAAATTTACTGTAGATTTGCTCTGAAAGTTAGTCTGGCAAAGAGCTCATTGAAACCCATTTCCAGTTCGCAGAAATCGAGGCACCAATCAGAAACGTTGGGGTGGGCTTTACACGATGACAACAGCGCTGGGATTTTGAAGCAGATTTTGTCATAGATATCAAGGCTAGATGTCTCACGTCATCTCCGGCGGCCATCTTGTCACAGACAGGCTTTCTGGCGGGCTCTGTGGTATCTGATGTAAGAAATACTCTTATCTCGTTGAAATCTTGACGGATTTACAAACGGTTTGATTTCTTACAAACGTTATTAATGTGGCTATAATTCTGGATGATTATTTATTTATACACTTATTATTCATAAGTATGCAGTATCATAACTACATCTCTGCCGTTTATAACAAACCAGACCGTTTGAAAATCGGTAGAAAATTGAGCAAGTTACGGTGATTTAAAAAGTACATGCACCATTAAAACAATGTTACCAGTGAGCGAGCTGCCTGTGACAAGATGGCCGCCAGGTGCTGACGTCGACCTCCATTGGCCAGCAGCGCTGACGAGATATCTAGCCTTTATATAGATATATATTGACGCTAAAGGGTGCCATGTGCTGGATTGAGACGAAATTTCAAAAGCGTCATGATTTGACGCCCTAGGATGAGAATGCGTTGGATGGTTGTGTACAGGCACTGGCAACACACATTTCAGTACAATCAACTTGTATTGAATGCATGTACCATTAAATGTCCCCTTTAAAGTCTGTGGCATTTTTCTTTGATTTATGTTCTAAGAAAGAGTTCATTTCATCCCATAAAAATCATCTCATTAATCACCTCTGCTCACACAGTTGGATTTAGAAACTTACAGCAAAAACGAAAATATGCTGTGGAAATCCAACAAGCATTAACTTCAGACAAACAAGAACCATATGCCTCTAATGGAGCCTCCTACTCAAAAATAATGCTAGTGCACTCAATTTATAATGTATCAAGTTCTCTAAAGTCTACCAAGTTTGCATAGCCGGCAAAAAAGTTTGTTTTTTTTTGTGCAGTAAACTGCTTTAAAGTGCCATGTCGGTACACGGAGAAACCTGCTAAATGGACAGTGGATTATCTTGAAAGA